TGTTGGGTCGACAGTTGGACTCGATGATCTTAGAGGTCTTTTCCAACCTTAATGATTCTATGATTCTATGAAATTGTGTTATCTAAGAGGCAGTTTCCTACTAAAGATGAGTAAACATGTTATCTGTACAAAGGGGAACATTTTGAACTGTTCTCATAAAGCTGTGGTGGTGTTAGTAAAGCTGTGAAGTTGGGAGGTACTATTTAAAGGTGGCGCACTAAAGCAGCAGCACCTAGTTCTAATGCACAGCACAGTATTCATTGAAACAGTCTTGCCTGTCTCATGGATCTCTGTGAAGGGAAATTATTTTTTTTATCCAGTCAATATATTTTTCAGTCAGTCGTGTGTAAACTCCAGGCATGTGTCTTCTTCCACATCTTTTTCCAAAAGAAACAATCCCACTGTATTGACCAGCACAGATTAACGGCCCACCTGAATCACCCTAGAACACAAAATAGAAGTAACTATTAATGTGTGTTTGTTGCTCTCCAGAGGAGCATGCAGTACCACCTGCAGTGCATAAACACGTTTGGAAAACTACTTCTAATCTGTTCCAACCTATGAAATGGACTAGTTGGCTTACGTCACTTCATGGGAGTGGGGTGAGGTATAAGGAGCCATTGCTTTTAAAGCCTGAGGGAGCCTTTGTAAATGTTGTAGACCAGCACAGTGCTATCATAATTCTATTTCAAAAGGTATATTTTTATTGTTGGTATAGATTGATTCTTACTTCTTTAGCAATTGGCTTTTCTGGACTCAGCACAGAAGACATCAAAAGCAAGATCCAAACAGCACTTTTGAGTGTACAGTTAATTCTGTACTATTCAGATGTTGACATCTGGAAAGGATCAGATGATTCAGACCCTGAAAGTTCTTTTTCTCCGATAACTACAGGTGGTGCCTAAGGGGAGCACCTTAGCTAAAGAAATGCACCTGAAGTGAACTGAGATAATGCCAGACTCAAATTCCCATATTCTCCATCTTGTTGTGTACATTGACCTAAACTACTCGAAGTTTTAACACTTCCTTTTCACAGCAATAAAGTCTCTTACAAACGTGGTTAAAATCACTGTGAATCTGATCAGCCTCATTAAGTGTCTAGCACTCCTTTGTTCCCAGTGAAAAGGGAACCATTGTTAAAAGCACATCCCCTCCTCTTTGTAACTTTGCTTCTTACCTGGCAAGCATCTCCCTTGAAAATTTTATTTTTCCCTACAGCACACAACATGTTGCTGGTTATTTTTGCATAATTTCCATATTTGCTCTCACAGCTTTTTCTACCAACAATTTTAAGAGTTGTTTTCCGAAGACATTTTGATGGCTTTCCTGAAGATGTGACTCCCCAGCCAGCCACCTTGCACGTTGTGCCAGGTTTGGTATCTTCATAAGAGTCAGGCAGAGGCAAAAGTTGCACAAATTTATTCAGCTTTGCAATACCATTCAGCTGGAAAAAAAGAAGAAAAAAAATGCTTTCTCATGCAGAAAAGGGAGGAAAGTATAATGTAGTTTCAATTGGCATTTAGACTCATTTTACCAGTACTTTCCTTATAAATCAGTTTTCAGTATTTAGGAACTGATCCTGAGCTTAATTGCCCTTTTGCAAATCCAAAAGAATTTTCCTGGTGTCTGTATAGCAATCCCCTATCTACGGCAGCAGTAGTGAGTTCAAGCCTAGCTTCCCATTGATTATAGTAGGAAATTAAAAACCTGCACAGGAGTTAGGCTGTTGGATCTATATCCTATCTGAGAACCTCACTTGCCACTGAACTTCTGTGTTGAAATCATACTCTGGTGCTTGACTGACACACAGAAAGGTCTCAAAGCACAGCGCAATGTACCCAGTAACAAAGATGAAAACAAAAGCTATAACCAATTAGACATGACCACAGTGACATAATTGGGGGAAAATGAGGTCTTGAACTCTTCAGACTGCCAAGTTTTTGCTCTGAGAGATTCAAAAGGCATAAATGATCTGAACTGTCTGTGTTTTATTGGCCTTTACCTGACAGATTCATCCTTCAGTAATTTAAGCCTGTAAATGAAAACATAGCAAAACACTAACACATATCCTCAATGTGCTTGGTAAGGGCTCACAGCTACCGAACAGACATTTTCTGTTTTACACACGATCACCGCACCATGATTCATTTCACAGGCTGTCAATACATGTTGCTGAATGGTTGTCAGTTAAACAATTCTGGCTTTATACCTTTTAAAAAAGGCACTCCAACAAATCACAAGTTTACCCAAAAAATCCTTACAGTTTATTATCGTCAGTGCTGGTGGGAATTTCCAAAATGGAAAGTTTATCCCAAGTCACTTAGTACTGCATTACAGCAGAACTGTAGAGATGGGAGGTGAGCCCTGGTACTAACGCTATCCCTGCTCCTGTGTCAAATTCAGACAAAAGATTTTATGGTATCCATGTCATTCTGGAACAGAGTTATAACTTTCACCTCTAGAAATACTGATTTCTAGCAATCCATTTTGTTATTGTGTTCACAAAAAACCTGGTGCTCCTGGTAAGTTGCTGGTGGCCACAGGAGAAGCCAGTGAAATGAACCTGTCTGCCTTTGCAATGAAGCAGATGGAGAATACTCACTAACATCTGGGGGAAGGAGCCTCTCACGCTTGGGCAGTGATAAGTCAGTGGAGGCACAGATGTCTGTAAATGCTCCAGCTAGTTCCAGAAGGGGACATTGCTAGTTTCCTCCCTGTGTCATTGTCATACCAAACTGGTGATACTAGCTAAACATTAGAAATCAGGTTCAAGTCATCACTTCCTTTTCCACATAATTCCACCAATTATTTCAGAAGTGTGGTAATATTCATAATATACTGTACCTAGTCAATTATTTTAAATATACATATTGATATTTCACATAAAGATATTTCTTCATTATCACAGGCCTAACATTAAAGCATAGCCTAAATAAAGATCCATCCAAGATTTCTTAGGCATCGTACTGAAGTCATGATATTTCTAAAGGTATAGGAAAGATGATGTACAAGTCTTATCTTTCTCAGGGACTTTGGATCAGCACTGAAACTGCTGGTTCCAGGAAGGAAATCCTCCAGAACCATTTGACCATCTACAGGTTTCCGGCATAGAGACTGCCCTCTCCCTATTCAAAACACCCATGGCTGCCTCCATGTCAATCTCAGTGCTGGATTAACAGAGTTCTCAGTGCAGGGACACATGAGGCATGAGCCAGGCTGAGCAGGAGCTGGTATGCAGGAAATTCTTACAGCCCTGCCGCACTTTGGCATTCAGGACGATGATGTTGGCAAGGACACCTTTCCATGCTTCATTCTGCAGTGTCCTGAGCCTTCTTCATTATGTGACCACTCTGTGCTCCTAGAGCTGAATTCATCTATGATGTCCTGTATTATCCATACTTTTACTTTATGTGGTTACCCCAAATAATTAACAGTAAGTTTCATCCCCATTTTTGCTTAGTCCAGCATAAGGTATCCCTTTGGAATACAGCTGTGACCCAGACTCCATTGCATACATCACTTCAGCACTGCCTTTGAAAAATTACTAAAGAATGTGTTTTGGGGTTTTGGAGGGGTTGCTGCAGTGAGTGGGTTAAAGGGAGTTTTAGAGCACGGAATGGGCTTGAAATGTCATCCCTGCTCACAGTGCCAGTGATCCTGTAACTTTATCTGGATTAGTACAACTAAAAGCAGGGTGTTCTGTGATATTGTTAAGCTATCTAAACAATGTACTCTTCGATATCAAAGAATAGCCAAAACAATCATCAGCAAAATTCCTCTTATAATAATACAACAGTAATTAACACAATACCTTGAGGAGCATTATATCATTTTCCTTGGAAGACCTGTCAAACTGAGGATTAGGAAAGTAGTGCATAACCTTAAATATCTGCTGTTCTTTTTCAGCTATGGATGCTTGATGGGCTCCAAGAACAACTCTAACTTCTGATTTGTTCAATCTGTAATTTAAAGAAAGTACAGGGAGAGAAGGTCACTACTGGAACTGAGCAGCATCTCTCAAGATAATCAAAAGACATGTAACATAATACTCACAATTTCATTTTACAACAACATGATTAAAACATAGGGAAGGATATTGTTCATTTCGATGTTTTGACATGAGCTTGTAATTTCCTCTACAAAGTAACATTTCTTTACTGTAAATCTAGTTCGGTGAAATAACGGTGTTATAGCTGACCTTCAGGGATTTCCAGAGTTTGGAATTAATTTCATGAAAAAGCCTGCTGGCTTTTTAAGGAGAGTCCCTTGCACAAGGACTGCTGGTGCTGATGCCTTTCATTAATCTTTTAATGGTCTCCTTTGGACTTAGGACCTAATCCTGCAAAGGACTGAAACACACCTGATTAATAATAGCATGTAGGTTGTCTTGCTGACATCAGTGGGATGCCAGTACACATATCAATACTCAGTACTCATTCTGAGCATTATGCATACAGGTAAGTGCTCTACTAAAGTGGACTTCTTTAATATTAATGAAAGTTTTGTCCTTAACTTCACTAAATACAGGATTCAGCCCATTAAGGAAGAAGGATGGGTGTTGCCTAACTCAAGACACCCCTATAGTGAATATTAAAAAGGGAGACTGCCAAAACCCAAAGAGACTTATATGTCCAGTTCCTGCTAATAAACAGTAAGAGTTAAGCCTCTCATAAATCTCCCTCTCCCCCAAGCTCTCTGAGTATTATCAGAAATGTATTTATTAGAGTTTGTCTTTCTTCATTTTGTCCTGCTAAACTTAATGCAGCCCAGTAAGATGACATTGCCAGAAGACATACTACTGGTTTCCTGTGCTTCATCTTCAGAACACAATCTCACTACATACAGGACAACTTATTCAAGCCAGAACAAAGACTTTATCAATCCAAACAAAAAAAAGTTACTTTCTTCATTCCAGCTGCATGTCTCACTGAAAGATACAATTCATTTATTTGTATGTGAATGTTTGCTTGTGAAAATAGCTGCAAAGGCAGTGCTGGATCCTAAAAATTTCTCTTTTTATCTATGAAGCACACTTACACAGTGAGAATGATATAAGACTCACAAAACTCCATCCCTGGGACTCTTTCGTGTATCATCCCCAACAGAGGTGCAACTGCTGGACTTGCAGAAAGCCCAGGCAATTGGCCACTCTGCATACAGAGAAGCTTGGGGGGAAAAAAAAAACAAAAAAACCCACTGCAACTTCATCCAGGTCTCTGATAGGTTGCTTGCAGGCCACACAGAAATTCATGTTGCTGGATTAATGCTATTTTATCTAAGACAAAAATTATTTCAGAAGTGATTATCACATAATATTCATTAGTTAGGAAGGCTTACATGCACTGCAATTGCACCTGCTAAGAAAAGTCTAGACATAGCCTAGGGCTGGGTGGGTTTTGCATGGGCATCATCATATAGCTCAGGAGAAGGAGACCAGACAGATATTGTTTCACTTTGTCCCAGTGACAAAGACTCAAAGTTAGCCCAAACCAATGTGCTTGTTAGAAAACCAAACCAGTGACCAGAGCTGTCCTCTCCACAGGACCAGATACAGCCAGTGCCCTTTCCACTGAATAGCTCCCAAATCTGAATTTTTATAACCATAACTAACTGGATATCTCTAACCCACTAACTCAAGAGTGAGAGACTCCAGCTCCCATCAAAAAATCCCTTCATTCCAAAGACGAAGGCTTGGCTTTTGTTTTGTAAATGTTCAAAACAGCACATGCTGTTCTACCCTTACAAAAAATGCAACCAAACCTGATTCAGCTGAAGTGTGGAAGTCAAATTCACTTAGAAAGAAGGAGCTGTGTCCGCTATTTTAGACTAACTGATGAAAGAAGGCCGGCTGAGCTGCCCACACTGTGTTTGAGGAGGTCAGGCTTGCACAGGTTTATTGTAATTGGTTTGCTTTTAGTTACTCAAATACAGAAAAAAAATTGGAGAACTAAAATAGGAGTTAGAAAATATTTTAGCAAAAGCATGGGCATTTTACTTCCTAATGTGAACAGTAGATGTCCTCCTTACCCTGAGCCAGCTGTTCAACAGCTGTGCCAGCCTTGGGGTACCCCACCTGAGAGAGGGGTGCTTGTGCTCACATTTGACTTGTCAAAAGGACAAGGCTCCTTGTCATAGTCATGACTGACATTCAGTTTTTCTGAGCCCAGGTCACTTAAAATGGGAGGAATCTTGTTTCCATCTAATTCAGCTTCATCTCTCAGGGTGTTTTGAGGCTTAGTCCCAGGCACACAGGTAAGATTTGTTTAAAGCACTTTGGAATATATCCCTGTCTCTAAGACGCTGCTGTTTCAGATGCACAAATAATGAATTGGGTCTTTTATCAGCACAGTCTGTATCCTGTAACACTGGCAGGATCTGACTAATGAAGGTAACTCTACACAATGCAGATCAGTAGTTTACAAAACAACTTAAAACAGAATGACAAGTTCTTAGATCAGTTTAGTGAGAGAACTGCAGCTTTTAACAATTCTTAAGAAATCAATAACCACTTTTCTTTACTTACAGGCTTGCACACCATGCCCCACCTCAATGAAGAGTTGAAATTGCCCCAGTATAAGATACTTACTCACAATGCGCTGCTGTCAAAACCCATTGCTTTCCCACAAGAGCTCCTCCACACACAGTTAAATTCTTTGTCTGGATAGCAGCCATAAAAGGCCAGGAATGAGGACGCACGATGTGTCCTCCAATAATGTCCATGCAGCCATCTGAAATGCAACAGAAGTGCAATTATGTTACGCGTTATCCAGAGGAAGTAGGAATTTGGATATTTTTATCCTTAGAAGAGTACTTACATCTCGGGGGTAGGATAACAGCAATTAGAGAGAGCAGGAGAGCTAACAGGTAGCTTGTCATAGCTGCTGCTATTTACTGACAAGAACATTGTAAATTATGATACAGTCTTTTCTATTTAAATGTCCCCTACAGGAAATGGTGGTTGAAACATTTTATTAATAGCTCCCTCTCTTGAAGTTTCCCTTTACATCATTAATATCATATTACCTTAAATGCAGCTTGGTTTCTTTAGGTTATTTCTTCAGGTTTCTTTAAAACCTGCCTGTTTCTTGAACCCCCAACATGTGTCAATATTAATTGGTCCAAGTCTTACAGGAACTTCAGCAGCCCTTCACCACAGGTATCATATTAGAAAACAAGCACATAAGAAAATTCCTGAGCATTACATGGGATGAATGTATAATAAAACCTAAGCGTCTCAGAGAATTCAACGCTCTTCCAACTTTAAAGAAAAAAATAAAAGGAAATATGTGAGAAGAATGAAACTGGCCATCTTCAAGCAGATGAACAAAAGGGAGAACGAATACAAGGGCCACATGAAAAGGCTTCACAGAACACCAGTGAGAGGGAAAACTCAGGGCATGTAGAGTATAAAAGCCATTCCCAAACTGTGGACCAAGATACCACAGCAGCCAGCAAATCCTCTGCAGAATTATACTGCCCAGGTAACATTTTCAGTTGAAAGACTGAAAAAGATTCATTCATAAGGTTTATGAGAGCCACTGGGAATTGGCAGGCATCTGTTGTCTGAAAAGTTTAGGAACACCTGACACAAAAGACAAGCTACACACATGGAGGGCAGAGCAATTTGCATTTTCTTAGCAATTATTTTTGAGGGTGCAGGATTCAGATGCAGAAAACCCTAGAACGTGCAAGTGTCAAATGCAAACAAAATATCTAATCAGTGTTCACAAGAAAAAGATAAAAAGTCACAGTGGTGGGAGAGATATTTCTGCATTGCAAACCTCTGTGTCTGCACCCATGTTTTGCACGCCTTGCTGGTAAACCACTATAAAAAAACAGCATGCCCTTGTATGAAGAACTTAAAAAGCCTGCTATGATCTTAAGTACCTTTAGAAAGAATCAGAAATGGAACTTGCCCAATATAGCTAGCTCTCATTTTTACTCAAGAGTTAGAGAACAGCAGCTTTCCAGATTGTTGAATGAGATTATAGCATTGAAATGCTTTTTTCTGTGGCACAGAATCTTACTAGTTATAACCCAGTTTGAAAACATGTACATGATGCAACATAATGTAACACATTTCATATTTCAGAAGTCTCTTCCAAAGCTCTTTTAAAAGAACACATGTGTCTCTCAGAATTCATCAGCTCATAAAAGAACCAGCTCCAGTTACCCCAGAATCACTCTCCATTCTCCAGCTAATCATGGGATTATTCACCCACTGGAGGCTATCTCTGCAAAGCGTGTCCTAAAGGCATAATTATGTTCCAGTCCTTTATGGCTTTACCCTCCCGCTAAGTGGCTAGCTTAGAAAGCAGCATAAGAGACAAAATGGGCAACAGACCCATGTTCTGACCAGGCAGGAGAAGGCTTGTGTTTCCAGAGCATAATATCTAATGCTGGATTCTTTCTGCCAAGTATATTCAACTTCATAGAAGTAATGCTGATTCGCTACAAGGCTTTGAGGACTCTCCGAGTTAACTACATCTACTTGTATTTCTGTGCTACTACATTTTTCTTCATTATCATACAGTAAATAGGTGAAAATAGGGAAGCTGAGCAAATAGCTGAGGCAAAAAAGACAACAGGTAAGTATCATGGGACACTGGTATCAGAGAAGAAAGTAAAACAGGCATCCCCAGCATATGTCCTGTCCCTTCCCCAGTGAGTCCCTGGGAGTGTATCCCCCAACCACTGAGGGATGCATCCAGGCAAACACAGTGGAGTGGGGATGGGGCAGCGCAGGGAGGATACACAGAAGGCACCCCAGTTCTGCCTCGCTGTGCTCCTGGCAGCTGCCCACTCTGTACCACCCTCCTGCCCTCCCTTCCCTAGCCCCAGGCGCCAGCCCTGCGGCTGAGCTAAGACACTGCCTGAACTTGGGCACCCAGTGGCTCTGGAAGGTTTAGAGCTGTGGTTTAAATTGGTCTCCTGAATTGGTCTCCTAAAATCACACCTGATGTTCACCCTTAGCACCACAGAAAGCAGCATGAAGGAAAAAGGAGCATAGTCACTGGGGAAGCAAAATGATCAAAACAGCTGAGTATGAGATAAGGGACAGAAGTGCTCAACACAGTACAGAACAGAGCTGAAAGTGATCCAGTGACACACGGGCTTAATGCCCATGGGAAATTTCCTCAAAGGCAAAGGCTAGAAATAGAAGCTGGGTAGACTTGTTGTTCTTTTCCTTAGGTAGTGGTTTCTGCTGAGAGAGTGGCTATGCCTCGTGGGCACTGCAGGGGAAAGGATGAAGCATTTTTCTTACATATGTCAGTCCTCTTGAAGACAAATTGCTTATGCAGCAGAGGAGCTAATAAAAGAATTTGACAATGCACTCAAATAGAGAAGGAAGTTTTGCTTTGAGGTTTCTCTTTACATGCAAAAGGCCAATAAAATCTAAACTTGACCATAAATTAACTTATTGCCATTACCAAAGGAGCCCAGTCAACTTGTTGGACACCCTAAAATTTGATGTCAATTTTTCAGCCTCATTTACGTAAGTTATAAGCTGAAGAGGACACTGACAAAAGCACTTGGGTACAAAACTGGAGGCTGATTATGTGCATATCAATCTGATCTTTAATACCTGTGCAATCAATCTTAGGACTATGTGATAGTAAGAGCTGTTTCTCAGAAGGAGCTTGCGCAGAAAGTGACCAGATATTACCAAACAGTATTTTAGACTGCATATTCCTAATTCCAGTTATCAATGTCAATGGGATCTCTCAGGATTAGAGGGGATTTTTTAAAAGGCATGGGTATGCTAATACCTATGGAGTTACAGAAAAATATCTTTAGAAGTAAGTAGGATTTAGAAGTAAATAGGAGTGCACTTAGATATTGAAAAAAATATAAACAAGCTATAGAAGATTTGTTTTTAGATAGTAGGCATAGATTTATCTTAGTTGCCTGGAAAACACCTAGGAACATTTGCTAATGTTTTATTCTGTGTCTCCCAAATAGGTTTTTCTTGAAAATAGATCAGGTAAACGTAGGACGATACATACCAAACCTCTTTTCACTAGACATGGCACCTCATATAGGAATATCCAAGGATGAATCATTGTAGTACTATGAGTTTGAGCAGGTCTCACTGTACAGGATTGTTGCTCACAAATGCTCATCCTGATCACGTCTGTGCATAGTCCAGAGAGGAAACAGCTTCAATATGGTAAGACCATAATTAAAATGTCATAAAAGCAGACTTTGGCAACTATTTGTAAGTGATAAATGAAAGAACGGTACCTATGATACCTGGTGATGCTGTGTTCGGGAGAACATTGAAAAAAAAGAATGCCAGTGCAACAAACTGCTGATAGCTACAGGGGATGTGCAGGTAGTGGGGAGAAAAATGAAAGAAAATAAAAAGCTTGGTGTAGTTTTGCAGTGCATAGAGCTGTCACCATGTCACATAGATGACAGTGTCTCTGATGAGCCACACAAGTGACAAAGAGCTCCGCTATCTCTAGAAGTAGCTCCACATCTGCCTTCTTCAGAGAAGTCACCAACAATTACCTTCTGTCTCAGAAGGGAGGGCAATGGCAAATTTGAGCCAGTTGTCTGTCCAAGGTCTTCTCCGGGTAAAACTCACATCAGGCTGGGCCAACTGAGCTCAAAGATGTGACACAGCCAGAACGCAGAAGCTTTCTGCAGGCTGACTGTAGTGGGGCTCAAGTCTTCAAGAAACCTTCCAGGCTGTGTGGTAGTGACACTTCACTGAATGTACCTAGTTAGTTAATACAATATTTGATATTCTGAATTATTTAATATTGATGGAAGTTATTTCTATTATTTGGGTATATATTTGGAAGTGAGGAACTGTGCCTTTACAAGGCTCTAATAAGATTTATTCAGTTTCCAGGACTCAATTCAGTCACCTAAAACTAGGCATTTAGTGACATTTGAGATACCCTGGGTTTCCCAGACATGGGCACAGGGCTGGCAAATCTGTCATAGCATCTACAGAAGACCCATGGCCTTCTGCACCAGGAGGCAAATTTAAGACACCTTAAGACACTTTAAATGGCATTATACTCTTAGCTCTAGACCACTAAACCACACTCAGTGCTATATGGATGCTCATCCAGTGCAAAGTTAATGAGGTAGGATCAGATGCTGAAAGGAGCAAACATCTGATTCCTTGACGCTGAAGGGCTCCTGAACAGCACAGATAACTCTCTAATGGGGAAGAGGCTGGGATTCATCTCTGACCTGGAGGCCACCTGGGGCCTTTCACGTACAGAGTGAAACTATACGTCTTCATGTGGGCAACGGAATCAAGCCTAAATTTACATGAGCTGAGTCCCACTGTGTAACTGGACACGTAGTGGCTTGCAAGGTTTCACCCCAGTACTCATACAGTAGCTCTCCGCAAATGCTACAGCGAGAACATTAAAGGGGGGGTGAAGGGGGGGCAGATCCTGTCTTCACACCACAACAGATGATGCAATTTCTCACTAACACCTCTGCTGTAAGCTACATTGTTGGGGAGGTTTTTTGCCTTTGCCACAGTTACAAATGTCAGATATCCTTAAGAGGAAAAACAAAACCCACATCCTTTTCATTTAGATATATATATTAAATAGTCAATAAGGGGAAACACCAGACAGAAATCATGGGAGGTTTCCTCACTTTGTCCCCCTCCGCTGCTGTCATTCTCCTGGTAATTCGTGGAGGTAAGTGCTCGATTCGATCCTTTTGAAGGTAAATGCTGATGTACAAAGTTCCAGTTAAGCCAACATGTACTAATGTAAAGGAAGTAGTCATAATTTTTATTTGAGTTCTTATTACTAGCTTTTTTCCACTGTCTGCATGTGTTTGCAGACATACAAACAATTTCTGAATGTAGTAGTAGAATGTATAATGTAGTATTAATT